GTGTGCGTGTGCGTGTGCGTGTGCGTGTGTGTGCGCGCACGAGCGCGCGCGCGCGTGTGTGTGTGTGTGTGTGTGTGCGTGTGTGTGTGCGCGTGTGCGCGCGTGTGCGTGTGTGTATGAGTGTGTGTGCGCGCGTGTGTGCCTGCGTCTCTGTGTATACGGGTGTGTACGTGCACTCAGATCGTGACAGTGTCTTGCCTTTCGTAGTGGAGTCACGGCATATTGTGCACGCTCACTCAACCAGCTCGTCTGCAGGAATGAATAGCGAAACCCACGCGAGCTGTTCTTTATGTTGCATCACTGGTCACGTCAGGTCACGTGATGACCTCGTGACGGTGAATCACGTGGGTACATCAGGACTACCTCCAGTGATGGTCAAAGTAACTTTTGGCTGATTAGCTACATGCTATTGACATGAAAATCAGATTCGTGAGAGGCTACTTGAGAGTAAAATGCAAACGAATCTGTCCACGTGAATCAAAATCAGTCAGAAACTCGAATGGATTTCAGTAGCAAAGAAGATCACGTACATAACTCGAATATGCGTGGTGCAAGTGATAAAGCTAGAAGCGACATCGTACAGTAAGTTAACCTCGTAATAGCATGGTAATAAGCATGATATCTACAAGCTTTCGGTGTATTTAATGAAAAGCAATTTAAAATTAATGTTGACATTACAATACCATACAAAAATCCAGGAATTTTCGCAGCTATATGCAATTGTAGCTATAATGTGTTTTATCGTTGTGCCGCCATTTCGCAGTATTAGTTCGAATAAATATATCTATTTGGTATACATATATATATAAATATAGTCTGATCGATCGAAAAAATATATACCATCAGAATAATTCAACCTCGGTAAAGTGACAAATTTCGTTAGCTGAAAGATAGAAGGCAGATATATAGAAAACAGAGAAGAGTGCCTAATGGAAAAGGTGTGTGGGTGCGGACGCGCGTGCGTGCGTGCGTGCGTGCGTGTGCAGCAGTAGGGCATGGTGATGTGTGCGGGGCGTGTAGGGGAGCGGGTGCGTGTAACCACTGCATAGTCAACACGTGTGTAATAACATGTGGGTTGTTTAATACCGCGGTGAAACCCTATTCGATGTGATCCTACATGACGGAAATAATAGCTACTTAACCTGCGCGACATTAGAATCCTTATTAGCAGCCGTTGCGTAGCACCTGCTGGGTAAGTATTATATTATATTATATATTTATTATGAGTATATAGCCACTATGGTGTCGCACTTCTAAGAATCTCATCATCATTCCTAACATACGAGAAAGAGTCCATCATAATCATGATGATCATCATCCGGTTGTGCTGCTTGCACAAATTCTTCTGACTCTCTCTCGCCACCCATCACAATCATCCATTGCATTCGGCAGGTCTTCGAGTAGACATCCAGAGTCTTGACAGAGCTGGTTGATGAATGTCTTCGATGGACGTCCAACTCGAGTATGTTCATGCTTGGAAGTCCATAGTAACACGTCGCTGACAATCTCTTCTTTACTTCTCCAGCAATGACTGGCAAATCTAGTTCGTCTCTCCCTGATAACGTGAGATATAGGTGGGAGATGGCCATAAAGACGCTGTTTTGTTGGGTGTCGTTTCCATGAGATGTTCAGTACGGCATGTAACGTTCTTGTATAAGTACCATCCAATTTAGATTCAAAGCGTTTCGTAAGTGTCCATGATGAAGAACCGTATAGAAGCATTGATTCAACAGTAGCGCGAAAAAAGTCACGTTCCAGGTCATCTAGAAGATCGGATTTCCAAATAACATTAAGGCCATCCAAAGCACTCCAGGCTTTTCCTATCCAAATATTTACATCTTTCTCTGTGGATGCGATATTACTTCCGAGTCCATAATAGAAAAGATCCATTTTCTATTATGGACTCTTGATACGAGGAACCGCCTCTAGGTGTAAAGGCTTAATGACCAAAATCGTACATCGATACTAAATACTGGATGGTAAGCACAGCAAATATTAATTACGAAATACTAAATACTAAACGCTAAATGCTAAATACTAACTAATAGGTACTAAATACAAAAACACTAACTACCAAATATTAATGCTAAATACTAAATATAAAACACTAAATGCTAAATGCTAATTACTAAATATTAATCCAAAATGTAAATACTAAATACTAACTGCTAAATTATAAATAATACTGTAATTCTGAAATTACTGTAGTGGTCGATAGGTTTTCACGGCTTTGCTTAGATACACATGTCTCATTATTATCTACTTTCAGTGTTTCTCTTTCACAGAAACGTTTTCGTCATCGTCAGCGTACGCCTTGGATTTGCCAGCGTTCCATTTAGTTCGGAACATCCGGGTGCACTGCCCTCGTTCCCGTACTGCTGGTCAGTGTGTCCGCAGACAGCCAGCAGAGGGACAGACGAAGGTGAGGTGCGGGCAGACAGATCGTCAGGGCCGTAGGCTGAGCAAATACCTAAGGGAGGCAGTGGCGGATCCAGGATTTCAATGAAGGAGTGAGAAACATGTGGGGGGTCTGGGGGTCATCGCCCAGAAAATTTTGAAAATGTAGATCGCAAGAGATGGTATTTGAGGCACTTTTGAGTACATGTACAGCCTTCATTCTGACTACGACAATTCTCTTTTAGTAGAACAATTTAACAGCAATCACACAGCCACACCGGCATCGCGCACACACGTGGCGATCAATCGCCCTCGCGATTATAAACGTTTTTGGTGGGGCAACATCCACTCGCTGCGAATCTTCCCAATGAGTAGCGCTAATACTGGTTCCGCTGCTTGTCATCTGACCCCGTGCGTGCACCGGTTGGGGGAGACGTCGCATCATTGGCGTTAACAGCGTGCGCTTGTATACCGGAGCGTAAATTTCCTGCCCTCATATATACAGATCTGCGGCGCGTGTGCCGACGCTCAGGATATTACACGCAGTTTACGCGCATGGACCGTTACAGATTACCGAAACTAAACAGCAGTTATCGAACGTGAGGCGCACCCATCTGTGCGTCCGCGCCCAACCGTGCCGACCCCCGCCCGGCGAGCCTCAGTCCCGCTGCGCGCGCGATATCGCGAGTGTTCGTCGGAGTCGTCGGTAACCCCCGCAAGATGGCACTGCGACTTCGCTTCGCGCCGCCAACCGAGAATGTGCATGAACCTCCGGTGCCTGAGCTAAGGTGGCGCCGTGCTCCCTTTGCCTGCTGCGCGTGCACGCCTGAGTATTGATTGTTCACTTCATATAATCGGCGTCGTCAGCGATCTCGTCGAGAAGTTTATAAGCCTGTTGCGTAACGCCGCGTGCGCGAGCGAGCGAGTTCGTCGTGTTCTCTCTGTGGTGGCGAGTTTCCTGAACTGCCAGAGTGTGAGCACCGCATGGTTCGGCGTCTAGCGACTTGGTGACGTCACGCGTTGTGTGGGCAACTGTGAGAATTTGGCGAGCAGAGGACCGAGCCCGGCAAAATGAACCGTGCGCACGCGGTCGCACGCTTGCAACCGTGTAAATGCCTAATGTGAGCATGTATCATGGTACTCCGGAATGAAATGTAATGGTAATGTAATGTAATGTCACTGTACATGTAATGTAGATGTCAGTGTATGTCATTATCCTAATAGCGGTTACCCGGCTGTAATGTAATGTAATTGTAATGTAATATAATGTAGTGAAATGTAATGTAATCTATGAATCTTATGTAAATAGCGACGTCTGACCGCTGATCTGTAGGCTGTAATGTACGAGCTAATGTAATGAGTACATGTAATGTGTCATGGCTAACAGTGTACAGTCGGTAGATGTCATATGTAAGTAAATGGTCAATGTTGGTACCTCGCTGAGACTGTATCGTATGTAATGGTATCGTAATGGCGTGAAACAGCTGGTACTGGTTAAGTAAATGCGTAATATAAATTCGGAGCTCGTCCTCGTAATGTAAAATAATGTTACGTCTGTTTCTGGATATTTGATAATGTAATGGCAATGTAATGTAATGTTAATGTAAGTCGTGTAGTACGTAGTAGTGGAATGTCGTGAATGTAATGTAAATGTCACGTGCAATGTAGGTATGCTTCTGCCCGCGTCAACAATCATATTGATGTTTAACGGTGTAGTAGGTAATGGTTAATGTTCGCATGAATTAGCAGAATAACTGGGTAGTGTAATCGCGGTCGAGATGTACCTGAGTGTAGTGTAATGTAATGTAGCTGCAAGTGAAATGTAATGTAATGTAGTGTACTATGTAGTGCGCAAATGCTGAATGTAATGTATGTGTAATGTAGCGTGAGATCGGTATGTAGTGTAATGTAGTTGGTACATGTAGACAAGTCTTACCTAGTGTACGGATGTCGCGGTCGGGTCGTATCCCGCTACATCCTCGCAGCCACTCTCGCGAGACAGTCGTGAGCACGGCAGTCTCCCGTCAGCCCATCTCAAGACCGGTACACATCTGATGACCGCGAGCAGTCTAAGGCCGGAGTGGCTGCCTGTCGGCAGCTGTCGCTGCTTCGCACAGATGGAACACCATATTGAACTGTTATGTCGCTAACGTGCGCTCATCCGGCTGCGTTGACGAGAGATTCGATCAGCGTCTCGAGATATATCGTGCAGTGTTCGATCGAGTATGGTTGCGAGGATACGCGCGAGGGTCCGCTTTAGCCGCGGACGCACGTGAAGGGCTTCTGGAATGTCATAGCGCCATATTCGAGCAACAGCCTGGGTCTGTCGGCCGTCGCTCGATATCGAAAACAGTTGAATATATCAGGAGTAGATAAAGGGATAGTATTATACCCTTTATCTACTCCTGAATATATGCATTTACAATACGCTCATAGCAGGTGGCATCACCCGTTTTGGCATGGGCGAAGTGTAGCGCAGGCTAGATGAGATTCAAATAGTGGCATGGTCCGAGCGCGACAGTTCAGTCCATAACGTTAACGCGTCGGGTGTTGACTAGATGGTTTTGTCCGAGCTACAGCAATGTAATGCCCACGCGCGCTTCACACAGCACCACACGAGCGCACGCACGCACGTACACACGCAGACGCACGTCCACGACCGCTCAGGCCGCGCCGAAAGCACGCTCGTAGCACCCGCAAAACTCGCACGACACAAGCAGAGCACGCACTTGTTCCGTTGTCCACGCCACGCACGTACACTCACCGAGTGACAGGCAACAACCTGCCGCAATGTCACTCGCTCTCTCGTGTCCGTTTCTCTTAGCCACGCAGCAATCGCACACACACACACTCACCGGGACATGACGCCTACGGGGCACGGTAGCGCGCTGTCCTGAGAGCAGAGCACACATCGCGAGACCGCTAAAGGCGACCGCCACTGTGTCTGTACGAGAGCACGCACTTTCACACTACACACACACACCTTTTTAACTTGTACGCACTGACCAGCGCGCACGTTGACTCCAGGCAGAGCACTCTCAGCATTCGGCACGGCTATTCTCACGCGCCCCGTATCACGCGCAACGCACCACACACACACTCGCAACTCATCTCCATCCACCTCACGCGGCACGATACAACGAGCTACTACGCACAGCTGACAGCACGCAGCTACTTGACTACGATGCAGCCCACGCCCCCGCCGACCAAACCACAGCCCCCGCCTAGGCAGGACGAGCGCGAGCCGCAACGCAGCGTAGCCCCACGCGCAGCAGCACGCAAGCAACGCAAGCACGACTACGTGATCTCGAGGACGTAGACTAAAGCACTAACACCATCACTCCACCAACGCATGCAGGTCAAACCTCCATCTCGTACTAGCCGCAAAACTGTCAACGTACTAGCGACGCAGACTACACTCGACTACTACACGCACGCACTCTCGGACCCACTACTCGCTACGCGACACGTCTAATCATCTCTCTATCACCACGCCAAGCACGCATTGCCAAATAGTGCCGTAGACGTTACAATCCACCCATCAATGCAGCCTACGATCAAGCAGATCCGATCACGCACCCACTCAACCCTTCCAACACCAAATCTATTCGTACGCAACTCGGCTCTCACTGCCCCGGTCACTTTCCCTGCACCCTATACTATTTTTATAACATACCTACCTTACGCATTACGCTATACTACTTACACATCACCTATACTCCCTTACACATTCACTTATACTAGTATGCCATACCTATACTCATTACTACGATCCTAGCTTACGCTTACCTATCTACTATATGGCATCCCCTACATACCTAACCTCACTTCAACATGCAACCTATCTACTTCCATGGCATACCCTACGCCATTCGCGCACGCTAACTACCCATCATTACTACATAATGCAAACCCTCCCTTACGCTTACTAATCACTACTTCTCCATACACTACCACGCACACTTAACAGCTCTCACACTAATCACACAACACTACCTACACACACAAACTCACAATACGCACCACCTCGCCGTACCAATCAATCACCAGCTGTTAAGTTCAAATCAACACTACTTTTACTAGCTATTTTACACCCTTATATATATTATAATATCTAACTATATTACATCCCATACCTATGCTTACCCATGATTCCCCTCCTTAGTTCTTTACTCCGCGCCTTTGTCACCATTCAGCTTCTCATTATGATACCTACCGCGTTGTCAGACTCTGAGTCGTCGAGTCGGCTCAACGCCTCTCATGGTGTCGACTACGCGCTTTAGTAACATACGAGCAGGCTTGCCTGTCGTGTGTAGCTTGATCTAGATCACTCCATCGCGCGTCCCGGACACTTAACGAGTCTTCTGGCCTCGCCAGCAGCACTCGCACGCTCCTCAGAGTGACCGTGAGCTGACTATTTGGCTATATCGTTAACAGCTTAAGCAGCGTGCCGAGTCATTACGGGTGCTTACTTTATACTAGCACGCGCATGCACGCTAATACTACTTATGCCTACCTACGCTTACGCTTACCTATCCTAACTTACGCCTCACGCTAGTACTACGTTATCGCATACGCTTACCGTTGCGCTTTTCGCGCCGGTCTCAGTCGGCTATAAGGTAAGAAGCTGAAGCGGTGAATTGGCTAACATAGCTTTGAGAAAGTTTTTAAGCTAACTGCGTGCGGTTTAGGTTGGGGTGGGAATGGGGGCACTCCTCTCATTCGTATACATGATGATTCCAGTCCTCATAAGTACTTGATCTACTACCATGTTTTCATCACTTAGATAATAGTTGGTTTCCAATCGTAAGTCTATACAGTCTCGCTTCATATAATGCCAATTAAAACTCCGCTGATAGGTTAAATCAGCTAACCTGTTCACTTGATCAACTCGACGTTGTGTCAGCCAATTAATCTCATTTGCGAGCTTCTGTCCTACTTTTGTTTTTACCGCTTACCTATCCTACTTATGCATCACCTATTCCTACTTATGCCTACCTACTTACGCTTTACCTATACTACTTA